TACTTCATTTACAAGACACTCCCATATACTGTATACCATCCCTCGCCTCTGCTCAGGGGATAATTTAGTTAATTACTGTATCAACTCAATTGTCCCAAAACCGAAAAATCATTATTTTTAAAAAAAATTCTGAAAACAGCCCAAAAACATATCATACATTCATAATTCCAACATCCCCTGATAGCTCGGATCTGGGGGAGAAACTTACTGAAAAATCACCCAGATCGGTTCAGGGTTTCGAAAGTTTCATGGAGGTCTTTGTTTTACTGACCGCACACAAGGTGTAAGCCGAGGATAGTTCCATGCGTTTTTGCTGTGCGGTCAGTCTCCATTCGTGAGGTTGAAATGCAAGAAAATGTATAACAGAATGGGTTGTATCTTTGTTTGTATGATTCCCCTCATTCGTATGACTCTTTTCACTGAACGCCGCTCTGTTCCCTTGATTTCCCACGAACTTATGCGAGGATGGAAGTCTCTGCGGTGTTCATGCCGTTGAGTATCTGATTTGGGTTCCAGACACTCGACAACCAAACACTGCTGGTGCATTCGTATGTAAAGATGGCCACCGCCACGTGTTCGTATGTCGAACGGCGGCCACCCAGGGAATACCTAGTTAGTTTGTGCGGTTGGCAATTAAGACAGTCTGAATAACGATAGGGAGGTCAATTAGTGCCACGCTCCTCTCCTGGGTGGCCTGGTGGTTCGGTAGTTTTTGTGTGTCGAACAATATGGCTTAACATAGTGGGAATAGGATTCTTACCGAACAACCAGACGAATTATATAAAACGAACAGTTGCAAATAAAATAAAGCAAAAAAAGGGTTATGTACAGCCAATAATATAAAAGGTGGATAGTAACAAAACCCATTCCGCCACAATAACGACCCCAATCTATTCAAGTCGGCTTTGTTCCCACTAGAAAAGCTAAAGAAAATATAATTAGAGTTGTTAATTTGATGCATAATGCCCAAAGTTCAAAGACACCTATATTTTTTTTATCAACAGATGCCGAGAAGACCTTTGACTGGGTGTACTGGGCATACATGAGTTCGGTCCTACAAAAAAATAGATTTTGGTGATAGATAGAAACAATGGGTAAACAGCCTATACTCTTGCCTGTCAACACGTATTAGAATTAATGGTCTACTATCAAAACCAGTGCGAATTAACAATGGTACTAGACAGGGGTGTCCCTTATTGTCACTGCTCTTTGCCTTAGCACTGGAACCATTGCTGAATGCTGTTCGTATGAACCATGATATTACAGATTGTGAGATAAAGGATACTGATTTTAAAATTACAGCTTACGCTGATGACTTACTTTTAGTCTTTCAGACCCTTATAGATCTCTCCAGGCACTAGTCAAGGAAATGAAATACTATAGTATATTTTCTACGTTTTTAATTAATATTGAGAAATCTGAATACTTACTGATAAATATATCCAATACATTACACCACACCTTGATTGGGGAATTTCCATTCAGAATTGTTAAACACTCCCTTACTTATCTAGAAATTAATTTCTGTGTTCTGGAAGTAGTTTGAATAAAGAAGTTATAATATTCATATAACAAAAACAAGATTCTACTACACATCAGATAATTTAAAGTTAATTAACTATTTCATTTTCCCCTGTGATGCCTTTATATTTTAATGATTTGAAAAAAAATTATGCATCACAATAATTTTTTCCAATTCCTTATGGGATTTTAACGTTGTTCTCCGATATTTGTCTGATTATCAGTTTACAAGGAAAAGCCTTTTAACACAGCCATTTCCAGTTGTCTGTATTACTTTTACACTCCAAGAAGTAGGGGGGAACAAATCTGGGCTATCTTGTAATTTCACAAACCATTTTAACGCTTTCTTTTCTGGACTCCTGTCTAATTTACTTAAGAACAAAATTATTTTTACAATTACCTTGACATTTTTCACTAATTCATTAATTCACCTTATGAATTGATTTTACCTAACATCATTAATAATAGTATAATAGTTATTATGAGGTGCAATTGTATACCGTTTACATTGACCAGAAAACACAATCGGTTTGATTTAGTCCATGAAATAATGTCCTCTCCAATCGAATCCATGAGCACAGTCTCTTTGTCCATAATGTCCTTTGAAAGTCCAAACAATTTATCCTTTTATTAAAATCATATTCGTTTTTGTCCATGATAAACATTATTGGTTCTGTAATGAAAAACAGATAGCAGTTTACTATTCTTATACATTAGTAAATATCTCATACATTAGTAAGTTTTTTTTACATTGATCACTAAGCACGAGAATTGATTTATTACATTTTATGCCAATGTTTGCTTTTTAAACCTGTAACACAGTTTGTCTTAATTTTTTTAGAATAACATAAGGACCTTCCCAACTTGCTTTTCAGAGACCTGGTGTTTTAAATGATTTTACCATCACCTTATTCCCTGGTTTAAACTTATCTGCATAGTTCCCCTGTGTTACTTCTTTAACAAATAGTTTACCATAAGGGGCCATATTCCAAGTAGCAAACTTGATAACAGTTCCAGAACAAAAGGTTCATTAAGGGAAAGTGATTAAATGGTTCTATCTGTCATTAACTCATGAGGTGACACTTGAGTTTTGGACTTTGGATTTGCACAAATAGACATTAATACGCCTGGTAAATATGTTACCCAATTACTCCCTTTATCTTCAAGCATTTTTTTATTTTTATTTTATTTATTTTTTCAATTTAGATTATGCTGTAAATTACTTTAGAGTCCCATGGTCTTGCTACCAAAGGTACTCTCTGCAATTTTGGTTTCTAGTAGTTAGGTCTTGGATTAAATTGAGCACCTTTGAGACACTCCTGCAATAAATCACTAAGTACAAATGTTTGTGTTTCATTATGTTTAACCCCGTACAAGCCAGTTTCAGTATCTAGACCCATTGTTTCTATACTAAAAGCTGCATCCTTTGATTCTCTATCAGATCTTATATGGTATTTGCAATTTGTCTTTTGCTCACAGTTGCGATCATTACATTTTACAAGTATTACAACTCCTATAAAAGCAGCTTCCTTTGATTCCTGATCTACAAGTCTGTTTCACAATAACAAGTTAAATTAAACCTTTTTTTTCTGCATAATTAAACAGTTCTGCCAAAATACCTGCATGTTTTAAAGCTTTATCCTGAGAATCTACCATTCCTCTTTTCTCTATATTGGGTGGCGAAGTGTTAATGCTTTAACTACATAACTGCTGTCACTGATTATATTCACTGGATCATATGCTGTTATTTCAATAGCTTTCTTTATGGACTCTACCTTAGCTTTCTGAGCAGACATATGGTGTGGCAATCTGTGTCTTTGTTTTTCTTTTGTTTGAGCGTCATATATGGAATAACCTGTGTGATGTAATCCATCAACATAAAATCTTTATTTCCATCAAATCAGGAATAATATCTTTTACTGGTTTCTATCCTGAGTGGTTTATCTTGTAACTACCCTCTGGCCATGTACTCCTAAATCAATGTTTAACAGTTTTAAAGGTGTGCAGGGATTTCTATAATCTGTCCAAATCCGATGATGTGTTGTGTTGCTTCTAAGGCCCAAAGCCGTCTTACAGGAAAACATTCTCGTTTTTCTGGAGACATAATGTTAGAAAAATATCCCAGTATTCGTAAAGAGCCATGTTACCTTTGCATTAAAACTGCTATTGGTGAAGAGACACCTGCGTAACATTGAACAATATATGGTACTGTGCCAATGGGAGCAGCTAGCACAGGTGCTTGTATTAGAGCATCTTTTAACAGATTTAAACTCTTTTCAACTTCCCCTGTCCAAATTAGGTTATCGTTTATCTTTTAGCATATTGCATAAGGGTTTTGGTATCCCTACCATATCATGTATGAATTCTCTGCTAAAATTTACCAAGCCTAAAAATTTCCATAGACCAGACACTGTCATTGGCATTGGCAATTGCTCTAACACTTTAACCCTTGCTGTACGTGGTGTGTTACCTTCTTGATTTATATCAACTCCTAGGAAAGCCAGTATTTCTTTAAAGATCTGCATAGTCATGTGTCTCATCCCACCTTGTTTCCATTACGCCAATTATGTCGTATCTTATAGTGTATACTATTGCCTCTAGTTCCCCCATTTCATTTCTTAGGCTCCTTGCATTAGTAAGTAGAGTTGAGCGAACCCGAACTCCAGAACATTATGTTTTTTGGACCCCGGACCTGAACACGGACATATCACTGTATGTTCGGGTTGGAGTAAGGAGTTCGGCGATTTAATGACGCATTTTGAAAGGCTGCAGGGCAGCCAATCAACAAGCGTTTGACTCGTGTGCCCTTAGAAGCTATCGCAGCCATGCCTACTAATGGCATGGCTGTGACTGGCCAGTGCAGCATGTGACCCAGCCTCTATAGAAGCTGGTCACTTAGTATTAGTAAATTATGCCCCTACTCGCTACACAGTGAGTAGGGGCGTGTATATTAAACAGTGAGCAGCCTGTGGTGGTGGGTGGGGGCCCTAAATAACAATAAGGGGGGGGCTATTGTCTCTACATTTACCTGTCACAGCACTCTGATTTGTTGGCTTTAAATCCACCAATCGGAGTGCTCTGTGTCAATTTACACAACGTGGGAAAGTTCTTTGGAACAGCTGCTCACTGTTTACTAGACACGCCGTTACTCACAGTATAGCGAGTGGGGGCTGAATTTACTAATACTAAGTAATGTGTAAATGTGGCTGAAATACCAATTTAGGTCTTTCAGCCTTTTGGTAGATAGCTCCCTAATACCGTGTGAATTAGGGAGTTATCTACAAAGCGGCTGCTTATTTTATGTTATTTTTAAGTGATTTCCCTATCCACATTTGTTTGCAGGGCACTTGTCCTACTCTTACCCCCATTTTACTTTCTTTTGCAGCCCTCTAGCCCTTTGTAGGAGTTTTTTAGAGCCATTTTTGTGGCCAAATGTTCGGGTCCCCATTGACTTCAAAATTGACTTTGGCTCCGACGGGTTCAGCCAAACTTTGAAAAAAAGTATGGGTTCGGGCTCAAACTTGACCCCGAACCCGTACTTTTTTTCAAAGTTTGGCTGAACCCGCCGGAGCAGAATATCCAGGTGTCCGCTCAACTCTATTAGTAAGCATACATTTAACATAATCATGAGTCACTAGTATTTTCTGTGAATTTGTATTACTATAACATACCTCCACTATTCTGATCTTGCCCCTCCCACATCTCCAGCCATCTGTGCTAAGTCAAAGTCCATCCCCTTTCTGTCCATAATGGCTATAAAAATTGTACCCAGGAGCAAAATCATTCCAGTGCTCTAAAATCCCAAAGCTTCCTTCTGGCACAAAGACGACACCCATACAATAACCTCCTCAATCTCCCGCTGCCTTTCTAATGTAGTGCATGGCACAAGTAATATTTCTAAAAAATATATATTACCTTGGAGGTCCTTTTCTTTAGTCTTCAATCTAATTTTGTGAACTCTTTAGGACCACTGAGAAGCAGATTACAGTAGTCAAGGCGAGAGATGACAGTGGTATGGACAAGCATCTTCAGGACATATCAGGCGCTGTTTTTGAGATGGAAGCGACAGGATTTGGTGACTGACTGGACATGAGGGGTGAAGGAGAGAGTAAAGAAGAACACCTAGGTAGCAAGCCTGCAAGATAGAGCTAATGGTAAGACTTGGAGGGAAACAGACACAGGAGTAGCAAAACTTGACAGAGGGAAGACCAAAAGCTCTGTTTTGGACAGATTAAGTTTAAGGAAATGAACAGCCATCCAGTTGGAAACAGCAGAGAGGCAGCCAGAGACACGAGTCAAGAAGGGCAAAGAAAAATCAGGAGAGGACAAACACATTTGCATATCATCGCATTGAAAAACTCCTAAATGGAATTTGCCCCTACAGCTGCCTTGTGAAGAATAGCCTTCTGTCTCCAGCGACACTGTTCCTGTGGATGTACTGTGATCCTGATGGATTATTCTTTTTGCTGATATGTTATTGAGTTTTGGATTTTTTTTTCTCTCTTGTTTTTGTTGGAAGGAAGGTGTTATACCTGGAATGCAGAACACTTCTGTGACGGTCACCCTGAGTGAGGAGGGGTGTCTATCGCCAGAGATGTCCTTTTCCCCTAGTCTGAGTATTCTCCAGTTGATATCCAAGCAGACCAGGGGGCTCTGATCAGAGAGTATTTTATAGCACATGGAGATCAGCTTACATAGTGGAGTCATAGATTTGTGTATACAAATATGTTCCCATGCTGTTATACTATTGTGTCAGTTACTGGTAGTTTTATCTGTTACGAGTGTACCTATGAAATATGATTTTAGCTGTATGTAATAGAAGTTTGAGGTTTGGAGCAGGGCATGTGTGGGCAACAGAAAGTCCATCAGACTTGTTGCAGAAAAGAGATAGTACAAGTGGGTAGCTCCAGCTTCTTGCCATGGTTTGTGGTTTGGCATGAAATGTGGGTATGGGTATACAGTAAACTGAAGACTAAATTGGGGTTGCTAACGAGGTGCAGCCAGTCCATTCAGTTTTTTCCTGGTCATTTCCATACATGGAGAACTGATTTAGTTTGTGAGGGAGCCAAGGGAGTCTGGGGACTTTTGACTTTAGGTAGCCACAGCAAGCTAGGTAAGTCAGCTAGGTCTCAGAAAGGCTTTTTCAAGATTGATCAATTGGGGTGGGGGGTGGTGGAGTAGTTGTTTGAGAAAGGGCGCTAGTGCAGAAGCCAAGATAGATGCATGGTCGTACACCTGGATATGGGGGAATGCCATGCCACCCGACTTGGCTGAGGCTTGCATTAATCCGCCGGCCACTCCAGGTCGCCCCCCGGCCAAACAAACTTACTGAGGTAAAAAAAAGTGAGAAATAGGTGTAGCGCTATATACATACATATAGTAGGGTTGAGCCTAATAGAATAGTCAGGCATCCAAATGAGGGCAATTCCAATATCTTATATAGTCCACCTAAAACAAGCAAAAAGAACTCCAATAGTGTAACACTGTAAATAGAATGATAGTGGGAGTCAAATATAATAACAAACTCACATTCTCCTGAGCTTAATGCCAAGCTCAGGAATAGGTGCGTGTAGGTCCGTACAGGCGACCTTCCCCTTCTTCTCACCAGGTGCTTATCTCAAATCGTCTCTAGGACTGCTCAATGAGAGGCACACAGCTTACTTGCTATATGTTTATATAGGTATTTTAGGATTTCCTGATTTCCAGACAATCTACTGATATGGAGGAGCACCAACACTCTGCTCACCCTGCAACACAGTATCGGGCACAGTATTGATAGCGTGTGTGTAGGTTTGTTTTTCCAGTTCACTCGTATACATTTGTACAAAAAGATCAATACAGGTGAATACTTTTAGGTTTGGAGTGAACCACATCAAGGGCCTAAAGTCCACAAAGTTTGTAGTGAACCACATCAAGGGCCTAAAGTTGAGTTGGAAAATTCTTGTTCAGTGTATAGGTCAGTCAAAAGTTTGTATAGTTCGTAATCCTCTGTAGATAATCCCATTTCCTTAATAGTTCTAAGATTTCTCTTCTCATGAAAGGCATGAAGGGCCAATTTAAACATATTGGTGGTAGGGGTAGGAACATAAGATAAACCTTTGTATAGGAGAAATTGTAGGGGGAAATTGAACCAGCATCCAATCACAGCAGAGGGCGGGATATTTAAATGGCCGGTATTTTCAGTATCTTTTCCCCTGGAAGAGCCAGCACTTGGCGAATCGCGCGTTGGGAATTAGTTAGCGGAGGTTTTGGCATTTAGATTAGGGATATTGTTTCAGTACCTTTACAAGAAAAGACAAGTCACCTCACTAAGATTTATCATTATTTTATTTATATTTTTCTTTTTCATTTGTTTTTTGCTATTGGTGATGCTGAGGGTGTTGGGAGTAGGGCTTCCTTTTTCCATTTGGAAGTCCCTCTGTCGGAACGTGGGAGGTAGTTTGGAGCTTTAGATTTTCTTAAGGGGTGCCCTCGAAGGCACGATAGGGCACTAGCTGTTTAGGACCCATTTACCCGTTCTTGGCTCTTTTCCTCCCTACTCACTCCGTTATTGGCAAATAGACAAACAGACCCCTCTTTTTGCCTTTCTCACACTCTCAAACCACAGCAATTGTCCTAATTCTAAACCTGAATTTTTTTTGTGAACTAGCATTTATTAGGATATTTTGATTATAATAATTTTTCACATCCCTGATTTGGGTTTTTAAGATAATGGATTAAAAGTGATATTTTAATATTATTGTTTCATTTAAGGGTTGCTTTCCCACTCTTAGAGGGTAGTCTTGAGAGGTTTCAATATTTTCTTACCTCCTAATCTCCCCTTAAGTTCTTATATTCCCCCATTCTCGTGAGCAACCTGACACATTCTCCTTGCTTGAATCAGTTTCAACACCATGAATAGTTTGTATGTGTTGTGCTATCCCTGCCTCTCTGATATAATGCCCGTTTGATCATCAGTAATAATGGAAGGAAGTATGGAGGTCAGCCTGTTAGCAACTAACTTGGCATAAATCTTGGAATCTGTGTTGAGGAGTGATATGGGTCTGAAATTTTTGCATACATTGGGGGGTTTACCTGGTTTTGGGAGTGTAACTTTGGTGGCCATTAACTCTGAGGTCAGAGAGCCAGTGTCAAAGGCCTTCTCATACACTTTGATTAAGTATTGGGCTAAAATGTTTGTAGTAAGAGTTAGGGAGGCCGTCTGCCCCTGGTTATTTCCCCAGTGGTAGTTTATTTATCCTGTCCAGCATTTCTTGTAATGTTATCGGGCTTGTTAAGGTTGCTATATGCTGTTGTTCAATCTAGTGAAGGCTAATGTGTGCAAGATAGGAGTCCATTTCTTGTTGGTCAGTGGTGTATGTTTGTGCATCTTTATGCAAATTATAAAGTTTGGAGTAAAATTTAGCAAATTCATCACTAATCTCTTGTGGGTTTAATTTTTAGGTACCATCGTCTCTCACAAGGTATGAGATTCTACAATCGGATAGGCCCTGGGGAGATAGCGCAGCTAAGCGGACAAGGGCACATGTAGGAGTGTGGGGATAGATGCATGGGATTGGTTGGGAAGAGTGTGTGGGATTATGTTCTGTGTAAATTAGTGTAGGGGAGGTCTTACCTCAGTGCCACTTGGGATTCGGGCCAGCAAACAGCTTCCTATCCTCCAGCTCCTGTTTGCCTGGGCCTGCAGATTGACACAGCTTGAGGTGATGGATGTTGAAGGGATCCGGTCGTCCCTCAGGGCTGCTGCAGCGTGGATCGTGGCCGGCACCTAAGGGAGGAATTGACAAGCATTAATAGAGGTATGGCTACCGGTGTGGGCACCCCCCCCCCGTGGCCTACCTCCCCCTGGAGCACCCCCTGCGGTCTTCCCTGCTGCCTCCCATGCGGCCCCGGGCCCGGTTGAGGAGCAATGGGGGCCGGGATTTGAGGCCTACTGAGGCCGCGCGCGTGGCACGGCCTTCAGACACGAGGCCTGCCACTGCCGCGCGGCCTACTACCTCCATGGCGGCCCGGCCTGCTACTTCCAGGCCGGGGATGCAGCCTGCAACTGCCGCGCGGCCTCCTTGTGTGGCTGCCGCGCGGCCTACTGCTCTTCCCCCCCTCCACACAATCCAGCGCTGGATTGCGGGCCGGGGGTGGTGGGCAGCAGATCTGGCAACTGTGCTGGTGAGGAAGGCTCCCAGGGCTCTGTCTCCCCTCCCTCCCTGTTAGTGCTACTTTCTTTGTCTTCCAGGGGGCCCAGTTTACCCTCTGGTCCCCCCTCCTCTTGCCCGGTTTTCTCTCCCCCCCTCCCCCTCTCTGGTGGTCCCCCCTCCTCCCCCTCTCTCTTTTCCCCCTCCTCCCCCCCTCCTGCTCTACTCCTCCCCCCCTCTATCCCTCCCTATCTGCATCCTCTCTTTCTCTCTCCCCCCCCTCTACCTTGCCCTCTAACTTGCCTGAACCCCACTCCCCCTCCCCCCCCACAGGTCACTTACCTGGCCATCTCCTCTGGGGCGTGGGCTCATATTCTCTGCTGCTTCTTCTCAGCATGCTGCTGCAGTTCATGGATCCGTCCAGCAGGT